GCATCCCTGCCATGGGGCTGGGCCAGCCCTTCAGCCCCAGAAACATTTACTGATGATGTGGTCATCTAATCTAGTCATCCCTCAGCCTCACTGACCATCAAAAACACCTGCCAAACTTAAGAACTAAAGAAGTAAAATACAAACTCCCAAGGACCTCCCCTCCGACTGACTACAGATCAGAACTTCTAGGGGTGGGACCTGGAAATCCATCTTTTCAGAAACTAATCAAATGGTTCTGAGGCCAGCCAATTCTGGGAGGCACTGATTCAACCAAAATTTATGAGTTATAACCCCTTAGTGACGTAGGTCAATAAGCCAAAGTACAACCGACTCCTCAAAAGACACTGTCACTGCCATTTGGGGAAACACCAGAAGTGCCCCCAGGGCGACAGGACAGCACAGTGCAAGGGCTGCAGTACCCGTCCGACGGGAAGTCTGACACTCGTCAGAGCACGTTAGCATGCTTCACCCCAGAGCCATGGCCTGTGTGGTGTGGGCCGAGGCTATGAGCCCTCCCGAGACCCTCACCTGGATAGGAAAGATCCCGGGAAGGATGGGGCAGGTGATGCCTATCTCGGTGCAAGCCTTAACAAAGCGGAAGAATGTATCAGCCTCAAAGAAAAGCTGGGTGATGATGAAGTCGGCTCCTGCAGACACCTTCTCCTTCAAGCGCTTCAGGTCGGCCTCAAGGCTCTCTGCTTCGGGGTGGCCTTTGGGGTAACCTGCCAATAGGGAGGACAGTAGGGAGAGGCTGGCCTCCACCTGCTCACGGTGAGTGATGAAGAAACCAGAGGGCCTGGACACAGATTCCTCTGCCTTGGGGATTCTACTGCTCAGCAGGGACAGAGCTGGGCTCAAACTGAGGTGCCCCCTGACCCTGTCCTTTGTGGGAGGTGGCTTTGAGTCACCCAACTCCCCACACTGTTTTGCTTCAAGCAGTCAGGCAAATCAGGCCTGCACTGTGGCTGCGGAAAAGAGAAAATGGTACAGTCAACACAGGCTGGGCAGCCCCTGGGGAACTAGGCTTGGTTCTAGTCACCAGATTAAACTTTTTTTTTTTTTTTTTTTGAGAGGTTTTCACTATAGGGCGCATGCGCTCGCCAGACAGACAGACAGACATAGAGACAGAAAGCGAGAAACCCCCCCCCCAGGGGGGATGGTCATGCCACAATCCCTTCTCCTCCATTCTCCTCTCGGGATCTTGGGCACGCACGTACACGCACCCGGCGTGAGTTTTAAGCCACCGGGTCCGGGACGCGAACCGCAGTCGACTACGTGGAAGTCCAGCGACATAGCCGTTATGCTAACTGCCGGTTCCCCAGATTAAACATTTTTAGAAGAATTTTTTAAAGTTAATTTATTAATTTCTTCCATGAGTAAGAGAGGTGGCGGGGGGGAGAGAGAGAGACCCCAACATAGTCTTGATGCCACAGCCTACTCCCCGGCTCAGCCAGACCCAGATCATGTGAATTCATGGGCCAGCGTTCTCGGGAGGTGTCCAGATGCAAACCTGGAGCACTTCCCATATGGCTCAGTCTTCCAGTGTTGCATTTTACCACTGCATCACTACCCAGTCCCTAGAAGAATGTTGTAATGTATTTGTTTTTTTGTGTGTGTTTGTGTTTGTTTTTGTTTTTGTAAGTCAGAGGGTGTGTGCTCTTGCCAGAGAGAGACAGAGACACAAGGAGGGAGAGGGAGTGATCACCCCAGTGGGGGATAGTCATGTCCCAATCCCGTCTCCATTTCTCCATCCTGTTGGGATTTGGGGCACACATGCCTGGTATGTTTTTAAGCCATTGGGGCACACATGCCTGGTATTGGTATGTTTTTAAGCCATCAGGGTTGGGATCTAAACTGCAGTTGGCCATGTGGGATCCAACTCCCTTAGCAAACAGGCCCTGGTACCGGCCTAAGAATTTTTAAATTTTTTCCATAAGAGAGACTGGCACCCCCCAACAGCAACCCCATGCTGCAATTCACTCCCAGTCCCAGGTGGGTTAGGACGTGTGCTCAGAGAGGTCCCAGGATGCAAACCCAGGACGCCTCCCGTCATACCACCATCTGGCTCCAAAAGTTTTTTTTCTTTTTTTTAATTTATTCATTCATTTAGTTTAATTTGAACAGAGAGAGACACACAGAGTAATAGAGGGAAGTAATAAAGCAAGCTACCAGGTCCAGGCATCGAACCATGTGGGAGTGTCCAGCACCTTAACCACCATACCACCTGCTGGTCCCTCCAAAATTTTTTTTTTTTTTTTTTGAGAGGTTTTCACTACAGGGCGCGTGCGCTCACCAGACAGACAGAGAGAGACATAGAGACAGAAAGCGAGAAATCACCCCCCAGGGGGGATGGTCACGCCGCAATCCCTTCTCCTCCATTCTCCTCTCGGGATCTTGTGCATGCACGCACTCACGCGCACCCACACACCTGGCGTGAGTTTTAAGCCACCAGGTCCGGGACGCGAACCGCAGTTGACTACGTGGGAGTCCAGCAACATAGCCATTATGCTAACTGCTGGTTCCCATCCAAAAGGTTTTTATTAACATAATATTAAAATGATGAGGGGTCTAATACTGTGCAAAGTTAGAAACCACATTACATAAGGAAGAAATGAAGAAAGGATAGAGGTTTGCTTAAAGAAAAAATAGGAGAGACTACAGTGTCTTCTTTCAAATGTCCAAAGGCCTATTTTGGCGAAAAAGAGTTCATTCACCCTAGTTGAATTCCTTCTTAGTCACATTCTGTGCTGCTTCTGGTGGCAGAACCAGCATTGGTTTAAGAGCTGCCTAACAGCAGAACGAGCAACCCCACAAAGTAACAAGCCCCTGGAGTCTGTCTCTCTGGTGAGTGCATGTGCCCTATAGCAAAATTTTCAAAATAAATAATAATTTTAAAAATATTTTATTTATTTATTAAGGAATTTATTTAATTTTATTCATTATTATTATTATTTTTTAATTTGACCAGAGAAAGAGAGAAAGAAAGGAAAAAAGTAAGCTGCCAGGTCTGGGACTCAAACCATGATCAACCATGTGGGAGTCCAGACCTCAACCACCACGCCACCTGCCAGCCTCTATTATTATTTTTAAATTTTGCTATAGGGCACATGCACTCACCTGAGAGAAAGTAAGAAAGTAAGTTGTTAGGTCCAAGATTCAAACCGTGGGCTACCATGTGGGAGTCCAATGCCTCAACCACCACACCACCTGCTAGTTCCAATAATTCTTAAACACACACACACACACACACACACACACACACACACACCAAACAAACAAAAAACAAAGAACTACAGGGAGAGCACTGGCTTTCTCTGCCCAAACCCAGGGCAGGACCTCAGCTAGGAGGGGAGCAGACCTAAGACTGAGCTGTAGGGAAGCCAAGTTGTTCTGCTATGACAAGGCAGTTTCATTCTTAAGAAACTTAAGTCATAATATTTTTTTAATCCCAAAAAAGAACCAGCAGAGGGTGTAATGGTTATGCCCCTGGACTCCCAAGCAGTCGACTATGGTTTGAGTCCTGGACCCAGTGGCTTAAAAATCACCAGGCGTGGGACCAGCAGTTAGTGTAATGGCTGTGTTGCTGAACTCCCATGTAGCCGACCGTGGTTCGAGTCCTGGACCCAGTGGCTTAAAAATCACCAGGCGTGGGACCAGCAGTTAGTGTAATGGCTGTGTTGCTGAACTCCCATGTAGCCGACCGTGGTTCGAGTCCTGGACCCAGTGGCTTAAAAATCACCAGGCGTGGGACCAGCAGTTAGTGTAATGGCTGTGTTGCTGAACTCCCATGTAGCCGACCGTGGTTCGAGTCCTGGACCCAGTGGCTTAAAAATCACCAGGCGTGGGACCAGCAGTTAGTGTAATGGCTGTGTTGCTGAACTCCCATGTAGCCGACCGTGGTTCGAGTCCTGGACCCAGTGGCTTAAAAATCACCAGGCGTGGGACCAGCAGTTAGTGTAATGGCTGTGTTGCTGAACTCCCATGTAGCCGACCGTGGTTCGAGTCCTGGACCCAGTGGCTTAAAATCATGTCGGGCACATGTGCGTGAGTGCCCAAGATCCCGAGAGGAGAATGGAGGAGAAGGGATTGCAGCGTGGCCATCCCCCAGGGGGATGATTTCTCGCTTTCTCTCTCTCTGTCTCTCTCTGTCTTTCTGGCAAGCACACATGCCCTATAGTAAAAACCTCTCCCCCCCCAAAAAAAATGCACATAAAAATCATTGTTTCAATGGGTAAGGAGACTGGAAAGTTTATCACCAGACTGCTATACTCTCTGTAACAAAGTTATTTTCCAGCAATTTCAGAAACAAAGGGGCCATTTTTTTTTAATTGTCAGAAGGCACATGTGCCTGCTAGAGAGATGGAGAGGGAGAAAGCATCCTCCAAAAGGCCATGGTCATGCTGCAGACCTGTACCCTTCATTTCTCCATTTTGTCAGGACTTGGGGCACATATGCACACACACATGACCAGAATGTTTTTCTTTTTTGAAAAAATTTTTGTCGGGGCCAGCAGGTGGTGTAGTGGTGAAAGTGTTGGACTCCCACATGGCCAATGTGGTTTGAGTTTCAGACTTGCTTTCTGGCTTTCTTTCTCACTTTCCCTCTCTATCTGTCTTTCTCTGGTGAGCACATGTGTCCTATAGCTAATTTAAAAATAATAAGAAAATTTAAAAATTAAATAAATAATTCAAAAAGAAAACATACACACAAAGAAGCCTATGACTGTAAGCAGTGTGGAAAAGCCTTTTTTGCGAGAGGGCATGTGTGTTTGCCAGAAAGAGACAGAGAGGGAAAGTGAGAAAGCAGCTGCCATTGGGAACGGTCATGCCACAATCCCTCCTCTGCCATTTCTCATTCCTCTTAGGATTTTGGGCGCACACAAGCGCGTGCGCATGCACACACACACACACACACACACACACACCTAGTTGTGTTTCTCAAGCTACTGGGTCCAGGGCTCAAACTCTCTGGTAAGTCATGTGGGATCCCACTGCCTTAACCACCAATCTATGGACTGGTCCCCCACTGTGTTCTTCTAATTGCTGGGGCCAGGACTGGAATCACAATTGGCCATGTGGGATCCGGCTCCCTTAAACACTAGGCTGTGGGGCCAATCCAAGGGGCTTTTTAATAGCTAAAGCCATATAGCTATAAAACTTAAATATCATCAAACAAGCAGTGTTGGCTTACATTTGGATATTGCTCAGTTTTGATATTCTCTTTCTATCATGACCAGCTTCTGCTTTTTAATCCACTGAACTTCATTGCCCACTTTATAATCAGCAAACCACAAAACCACCCAGCAACTGCAGGCTCACAGATTTGTTATCTACCAGTCACGAGCTCCTAACACCCATCGCTCACACACGTGTGTGCATTCCCCAGTTGGCTGGGCTCTGGCCAACACAAGCGACAATTTGAACAGTTGGGAATGTCTGTTCTGTTTCTCCTTAACAGTGCTGGCCCGGCTTAGGACCTGAACATCCCTGCCCCTGCCGACAAAAGGAAGAATGGAAATGTATACGGGAGACTGCGGAAAAGCCCAAAGTCACTTGCAACAAGTAATTTTTTTGAAGCCACTTGTTTCATTTTATTTTCAAATTCAGATCACTTGGGAGCCAGACCATAGCATGGTGGCTAAGAGGGCTGGATTCTGGGGCTGGCAAGTGGTGTGGTGGTTAAAGCACTGGACTCCCACAAGGTGACCATGGTTCAAGTCCTAGACCTGGCAGTTTCTCACTTTCCCTCTTTCTTTTTCTCTGTTCCTCTCTCTGATGAGTGCATGTACCCTCTGGTGACATTTTTAAAACATTCAGATCACTTGAAATCCTACTCCGTAATATAGCCATGTTTGCTATAAAACAATTTCCCAAAAATATTTGAGAAAAATTGTCATTCCAAGAAGATGTGAGAAATCAATCTAGGGCCCTACATCCCAGGAACACCCTGCCTCACCATCTCTGAGCCCCATCTGAGCAGTGGATAGCCCAACCCCAGTGAGTGGGGCAGGGAGGCCATCCCATCCCTTCTGTCAGGTGAACCTGGCCTCATGGCTACAGCCTGTGGAAGGAGAGCTGAGCTGACCTCTCTCCCCAGAATTTGGAAGTGACACTGAGACCTGCTGATCGGTTTGCTGGCTGGCACTGACACTGTGTACACTCAGGAGCAGGTCACATGCATGGGAAAGCATGCACACCACGTCTGCTGGACAAAGCATGCAGCACGTGTGTGGCAGGAGGTAGAGGAGGGGACCCTGTGGCACCAGTTTCAGTGCCAAGTGAAGTCTGATGTATGTTTTGACCTTGAATTCTGAGATTCCTTGCCTCCCAGAGGCCTATGAATAAAATATCCTTTTGTTTTAAAGAAGAATAAAGCAGGCTAAGAACTTGGTGAGGTAGAGGCACAAAACTCAGGGGGTGGTGGGCCTGGGAGGGCAACGGGGGTAGAATGACAGCGAGGACATTGCTTAATGTCCCTCTCTACTTCCCCTGTCCAGCATGGGCTGAGGTTCATAGCACCCTTGGTCTCTGGGTCCTGAACTGAATACAGGCAAGCTTTCCTGGTCTCCCTGGCTATCTCGTCCTTCCCCACTCCATCCCTACCTACCAGGACGCTCCAGCCACTCACCTGCCACACAGATGTCAAAGTAGTCACCAAACTCATTTCGGATGTGCTTCACCAAGTCCACAGCGTAGTTGAAGCCTCCTTCTTCCTCTTCCCACTGGTCACCTATGGGGTCTTCAGGGTCGGCAGAGGGTACAGTTATTGGGTCTTGCCCAACCTCTGAAGAGCCTTATTTCCTCCACCTGCCCCTACTCCCAGAGCGTGAGCTTCTGGAAGACAGAGACTTCCTCTGATTTCAGTCTGGATCTCTTTCTGTATAACACTTGGTAAAGAGCAGGAGGGAAGAAAGACACCAGCCTGTCAAACATTTACTGAGCGCCAACTCTGTGCAAGCGCCATGCTTGCAGTAGAGACAGGAGCCAGCCACTGCTCTCCACAAAGTTGGAGGATTTCAGATTCCATGCTCCCACTTTGCTTTCTTAATTTGCCAGAGGGTGCATGTGCTCACTGGGAGGGGTGAAGAGGGAGAAAACATCCTCCAATGGGATATGGTCACACTGCAATCATTCCCTCCTCTCTATTTCTTCATCCTGGTGGGATTTTGGGCATGCACATGCACCCAGCTTGTTTTTCAAGTCACCAGGGCTGAGACTTGAACCACATGGTCAGCCAGGTAGGATCTGGCTCCTTTAACCACCAGGCCACAGGCCCTCGGAGCCCTTTTCTGCTGGCACCTGGTTATACTCGGGCACCCTCCCCCTGCCCTACTGCTCACTCGCCTACTGTCTTGCAGCTCCTGCCTTCTGGGAAATATTCTAATCCTCTCCGATGAGAAGTGTCTTGAGGGAGCAGGCAGCAGGAGGCCACAAGGTCCCACCCACCGGCTTCCTCTTCCCACTCCTAAGTGGCCCAATGACAGCAGGCACCAGAGGCATAACCAGCTCCTTCACTCCTGGACAAATGCCAGAACTGTACTCTGTGACTGGGACAAGCACTGGGTGCAATCAGCGATCGATGAAGTTGTGTAGCCAGGGCAAAGGGTTATCAGGCACCAACTGCATTCCCAACTGAACTCCTACATCGAGGTCAAGAGGTGGAAGAGGTGGCTCCATCTGTGTGGTACCCATGCTAGATTCACTACCCACAATGCTTACTGACACTCCTGGCAGTGATGGGACTCAGGGACAGGACAGATTCAGGGACAGGAGAGGCCTTCGGGAAGGCAAGAACCCAGATTGGAGGGGAGTGCTGACGCCACACCTCCTCTCAGAGCTAGGATGTTCTTCAGGCCCAGCTGCTTGGCTTTGTGCAGGTGGCCTGTGATCTCTTCCTGGCTCTGCTGGCAGCAGGTCATGTGCAGGATGGTTTCCAGGCCACAGTAGTTTACGGCGGTGCTGGCGATCATCATGGAGGAAGTCTCCTTGTCGGAGCCAGGGTCCCCTGCTGGGTGCCAGGTCACATCTATGAAAAGGGGGCCGCCTGCTGCCATCCGGTCAAATCTGTAGGGAATTTCTTTGTGAAGAGAAGGTCCTGAGGGAACATCATGACCTTCCTACAGGGCTTAAGAGTTAGCAGACCATGTAAGTGGGAGTCAAACCAAGCTGCATTCACAGCCTGGCTTTGGGTAAATTACTTAATCTCTCTGAGCCTCAGCTGCCTCCTTTGTAAGACGTGGTAGATAATAGCAGCAACAACACAATATCACAAGACACGGTGGGATGGCTCTATGACACTCAGAGCAGGGCCTGGAGTACACAGTGAACACTCAGTAAACACGAGCTGCTAAGAGCACGAGTGCCACTGTTGTGACAACAATGCTACCGTGTTGCACAACAGACTTTTCGGTGTGCTTGCACCTATGTTTTCTCAGGTGAGTTGAGACATTTCAATTCCTCAGAGTGGCCAGTAAAGCCTCATTCTAAGAACAGTAAAAAAGGGGACCAGCAGTTGGTGTAATGGCTATGTTGCTGGACTCCCATGCAGTCGACTGCAGTTCAAGTCCTGGACCCGGTGGCTTAAAGTCATGCTGGGCACGTGTGCGTGTGTGCCCAAAATCCTGAGAGGAGAATGGAGGAGAAGGGATTGCGGCATGGCCATCCCCCCTGGGGCATGATTTCTTGCTTCCTATCTCTCTGTCTCACTCTGTCTTTCTGTAAAGCACACATGCCCTATAGCAAAGAAAACCTCTCAAAAAAAAAAAAAAGAAAGAAAAAAAGGAGGGTCGGCAAGCACAAGTCTCTTTCATGCAGCTTCTCCAGTTTTAGTGTGGTAGCCGGCAGTCCTGCAGACCAAGGCCAAGTTCCTGAACTAGACTAAAAACCTGGGCACCTGCAAGGACTTGCGTTACAAATTACAACAGTGTTTCTAGGGGCCAGTAGATGGCCTAGTGGATATGTCGCTGGACTCCCATGCAGTCGACTGCAGTTTGAGTCCTGGACTCAGCAACTTAAAACTCATTCAGGGTGCAAGTTTGTGTATGCCCAAAATTCTGGGAGGAGAACAAAGGAGAAAGGACTGTGGCATAGCCATCCCGGGGTGGGGTAATTTCTCACTTTCTGTCTCATTTTCTCAAACACACCAGTGTTTTTAAACATCCTTACTTACACCTTTAAACTTTAAGACCTCGGAGTAACACGAGAAGTGCAAATAAAAGACCTAAACCTGAAAAAAGGAATTATAATTCATAAAATGCTAATGTAACTTAGCTGGCATTTGCAGATTTCAAGAAGCATAATCCAAATTCCTAACTTGCTGAAAACACTTAATCACTGCTTTGTGACTTCCTCAACCACACTCATGATCTAGCTCCAAGTCCTGCCAAAAAATGTAGTTTGAGAGAATGAACGTTTTTAATCCACTGCAGAATGTGTCTAAAAATACTTGACACCGTGGAGGAACTTTCACAGGCAACTGAGAAGCTGCAGAGCCAACGACCTAGTCTGTCTTCGCTCTTTTCTGCCCCCTCTGGCTGCCTTTTCCTGCCGGGTTAAAGTGCAGCCCTGCTTTGGCTGACAGTTCACTTCCCCTTCATGCACTCCAGGCCACCCTCGATCTTAACCTGATATCAGTTTACCTGGAGATGAGATTAACGGCTCCCTGAGCAGTTCGAGGAGGGAAGAATTCCAGGGAGAACCATTTATCACCAGATTCCATCCTCCGCCTCATCTTCTCCTGGAGCTTCTCGTGCCGCTCGGGGTCCAGGCCTGGGGTGGAACATCTCGAGCTGTCTTTGGAGCTCTCACTCCCACTGCTGCTGCCCTCATTCACCATGGCTGGGCTCCTGCTGCACAGGGTGGGGACAGACGGCATCAGAGAGCAGGCAGCTACAGCCCAGGCACATTTAGGCACCTGAACAGCAGGTTCCAGTGACAGATGCTGTTTGAGGCAGGAAGGCGGCCAGTGAGGTGGGGCTGACACTGCCCCCTCCCAGTGGCTCTATGCGTCACAGCCACAGCCACAGCCTTCTAGGCTCCCTGGGCGCAAAGCTTTGCCCCCCTGTTGCCGCCTGGCTCCTTGCATGACAGCCTCCGCCCAACATAAAACATGCTCCTTCAGCTCCGTGGATCCTCAGTGACAGCTACCTGATGGAGGGCGGTACAGATAACCTCATACAGCCAGCCTTTGAGGCCCACATTCCTAGAGAGGAACAGCAGTGCGCAGCTGGGAGCACCCTGGCTTTTCGATGGTCCATCTCTGTACAGCTTAGACCCAGAGTGAGTAGGGAGGGAAGGCAGGAACCTTCCCCAGCGGGTGCCCAAGTGGGCGGAGCTGTGACAAAGGAAGAGCCTTGAGCTGGAGCTGAGGCCAGCATGCAAGGGGCGGGGGCAAGGCTTCTAGGTGGAGGGAGGGCTAAGGCGCTAGTCTGAGAAGACAGATGAAGGAGGGAGAATGAAGGAGGGAGATGTGGGGGCTGGAGACCACAGGGGTTGGTTGAGAAGAGGCCAACAGACGTTCAGGGTCACTGGAGCACTCTCCAAGGAAGGAAGAGCTCGCTCTCGCTGTCCCTGCCTGGAATGCTTCCTGCTCTTGGAACAGTTTGTATGCAGGATGGAAGGGGTGAGGGCTTGACTAATGCAGCCAGGATTTTCTTGCAGTGGATTAGAACTTGACATTGGCTATGTTTCAAAAGTAGCTAGAATCAAGTTCAGTAAGGCCATGAGTTTAAGTCCAACTCAGAACAAAGGGTGTCCCGTCTGTGTCTGCTCTGAAGGGTGTGCTCCTGACACACACCACTGAAGTCAGCTTAGTAATCACAGTGACTACAGGGTCACCACCTATGAAGCCCTGAGCACGGCAACCACAGGAGGGCCAACGGAGGGTACTGTACCGTGTGGCAGTTTGGGTGGGAAAATAAGACAAATACTTAAAAATGAAACAAAATGCTACTCTCGCACAGTAATGGGTAAACACACAATAGTGACAATCAGTGTATGGTGACATGAAACAACAAAAGAACAACTAGGTCACGTTCATTCCTTTGAGGGAATGTCCACCACCATTAAGCCATTGTAGTTAACGGTGTTGGGTACTGAAACCTTGAGAATCTGGTAAAACCCACTGTGCCTCTCCCCAAAACACACACAAGTGCACAGAATTCACACACATGTATGTATGAATACATGAATGCTCTAAACCAAAGGAGTTGATTCCACACTCAGAACTCCTGTGCCAATGTTTTCTCCTCCTAGGAATGCCCACTTCCATCTGACCTAAAACTCCAGATTCTCAGCAGGGACAGTGATAGGGCTCCAGAAGAGACTAATGGCAAGAGCAGCCAGCTGGCTGCCTCTAGCATTCAATGGAGTGCCTCATTAATTGCCTCTTGGAACAAAACCTAGAGAGGAGGGAGGAGGCTGCAAATGTACCCACTCTTTAAAGACTTGCTGCATTTCCAGTATGTGCCAGGCACGCGCCATATTATTATGTCTCCTTTCAACCAATAGCCTTGGCTGATCCACTTTTTAAAAAAAATTATTGGGACCAGCAGATGGTGTAATGGTTACGTCACTAGATACCCACGTAGTTGATCATGGTTCAAGTCTCGGACCCAGTGGCTTAAACTCACACCAGGCGTGTGTGTGTGTGTGTGTGTGTGTGTGTATGTGTGTGCCCAAGATCCTGAGAAGATAGTGGAGAAGGGATTGTGGTGTGGCCATCCCTTCTGGGGGGGGGGTGATTTCTACTTTCTGTCTGTCTTTCTCTGTCTCTCTGGCAATTACATGTGCCCTATTGCAAAAATCTCTCTTAAAAAAAGAATGATTAATTTTATTATTTTAATTTGCTGTGGGGCACGTGTGCACAACAGAGAGAGATAGAGAGGGACTATGAGAAAGCAAGTTCCCAGGTTTGGGGTGACCGGGAGGTGAACCCTGGTCAACCATGTGGGAATCCAGCACCTCCATCACTACACCACCTGCTGGTCCCTCGACTGATCCACTTTAAGTTCGGCTCCATAGCACCCTGGATTGCAATTGTGGGTTTGCAGGCTTATTTTCTCTCCTGACTCAGGATCCTAACTGGGTGATCCCCAGTATCTGGCATACGGTAATAACAGCAAACACCCAACACCCACTGAGCCCATAGGGCCAGGTGCTGTCGCTGCATTCTCAAAATAACCCTGGCCATTTACTAAGCATTCACTCAGACTGTGCAAGCACGGCACACTAAGCCCACCACTTTCAGAAGGGTCCCTTGGACACTCATGCGCAGCTGGACGCAGTGCCCCTCGGGATGGCAGAGTTCTTCAGCTGCTCGCCAGTGAGACAGGTTTAAAAGGTGGAGCCAGATGCTGTCTCGGCCCCTAGGTGGTTGGAGAGCTGGAAATCGAGTCACCGTGTCACTGAATCTTGTACGGGGGCTAGGATGCGGGCCCAGGCGGGTACCGGGGGAGGGGCTCTATCAATACCTCTGGTTTGGGACCCCCTAATCCCTAGGATCTCTCTGTCCAGTCACCAAACCGAAAGTCCATCTTCCCGCGAGGGTGGCAGTCACTTGAGGTTACAAGCACCCGAAGGGTGCTCGGAGGAGGCGGGAGCCCCCACTTGGAGGGGCAAGCCGGCAACCAGCGCACCTCGCCCACCAGCAAGGCGGGTGTTCCCGGCTCCGGAGATTCCCTCTCCGGCGACCCCCAACCTCGCCTTCACTCACCCTCCTGTCTGTCCCGGGTGACTCAGAACGCTTGTCGCCGCAGCCGCAGAGTGGCGGCCGCGCGGCGCGAGCGGAGGCGGGGAGGCGCGCTGGGAGGGGCGGAGCAGGTGTCAGATTGCTCAGCGAGGCGGGACCAGAGGGCGGAAACTGGCCCTCCGGGCGACCGGAAGCCCCGCCCCCAGCATGGCCGCATCCAGAAGGCTCGTTGGCTGTCGTCCTACAACCGTCATGTGACGAGAGCCCTCGCCCCACCCGTCTGCGGCCACTCCCTGTCTCGGTCCTCAAGCTCTAGAGGGCCACGTGACCCGCTTGGGGCCAGTCACGTGAGGCACGAATCCTGGGTGGGAGGGGGTTGGCAGAGGGGTCCGGAGTGGCAGTAAAGGAGGAAGATGGCGGGGTGCAGGGGGTCCCTGTGCTGCTGCTGCAGGTGGTGCTGCTGCTGTGGTGAGCGTGAGACCCGCACCCCGGAGGAGCTGGTAAGGAGCGGGCCGGCGGGCTGAGGAAGGGGCGGTTGCTAAGGGACAACAAGAGGCGTTGCCGAGGGTGGGGCGGAGCGAACCGGGCCCGCAGGTGGTAGCGGGTGGGGCTTGAGGACCACAGGCCGGGCTCTCGCAGTTTCTGTTCTTCGCTTGCCCAAGTTGGGGGGGGGTCTTCTCAAAACCTCTCCAGGATCTGAGAGAGCATCCAGGCCAGCTCCTGTTAATCCCATCCATATTTTCTTTTATTTCCATCTGCAAGGAGTTTTGAATGAAATACGCGCTTCTAGAATGAGCCCCTTCATGGGACTTTGTGCTAATCATGCAGCTGGCTCAGTTTCTGGAGCCCTTTCTCACGCTGTCTCTCACCCTTTCTGGGTCACTGATAATCCAGCTTCCCCTTGCAAAGCATCCTGGGAAAACTTGAGTTGTGTCGCTCAGAGTTGACAGGTCTCTTCTGATTTCGGATTCGGCAAAATATCAGATGGAACCTGAAAAACTTCCCCCTTTAAGCTGGCATTGGACATCTTCGAGGACACTAATAGTTGTTTGGAGAAAGTATCAATAGAAGCTGAAGCCCTCAGTTGAGGACTGTAGGTCCTCACTCACATGTTTTTTGTAGGTCCACACCCAAAAAGTTTTCTTGTGATCTGTGCCTATTTGATGACAGTTACTTCAAATGATTAAAACCTTGCAACTTATTTCAGTAAATACTTCTGCCTTCTTCCACTTTTAATTGTTAAAAGTATCCCCCTCTGTGGATCTGTTTTTCTAGACCATCCTTGGAGAAACACAGGAGGAGGAGGATGAGATCCTCCCCAGGAAAGACTATGAGGTGAGATCTTAGGTGCTTTCTTGGGTAACTAAAGTTGTGGGTGACCTGGTCGCCTTGATTGCAACGGGAGATGCTCTTTGATGTTCTGTACCATAGAGTAGGTAAGTAAGAGATAACTTCCCACTGGGAAAGGTGATCTTTAACAAGCTGTTTTCTCACCTTAACTTCAAAACAGGGTGTAGTGTTTCTTTGACACCTTTACCTGGATAGAGTATCTATTTGCCGTTAAACTTTTCCTTTATAGCATATAGAGACCCAGAGTCAAAGCCAGTGATAGTGTATGCTTGAAACAGGTTTGTGCTCCTAACCTCTTATGGAGGCCTTCTCTTCTGAGAGAGCTTAGTTTTCAGATAATTATTTCCTGCCCATTTTCTGATACGTTCTTTTTTCTTTTTTTATTGTCGGAGTGTGTCTGTGCCAAAGAAAAAGGGAGAAAACTTCCTCACAATCGGGCGTGGTCACACAGCATCCTTTCTCCATCCTCTTGGGATCTGGGACACACATGCACATGTACCCAGTGTGTTTTTCAAGCAGCTAGGGCTAGGATTCGAATCATGGTTGGCTATGTGGGATCCGGCTCTCTTAATATGCTATGAGGCCAGCACTGAAATGGTTTTCATTGTAGTTTCCGTTTTCAAATACGAGACTCGTAGAGTGTGTATGTTTTTAGTAAGGCCAACACTGCTGGGGTGAACTTAACATGTATGACATTTTGTCATGTAATTAGTTCATGATGAATTTTCTGGAACTTTTTTTAAAAAAGTTTATTTCTTCTATGAGTGAGCAAAAGAGACAGAGAGAGAGAGAGAGAGAAGCCCCCCCAATAGAGTTGTGATGCTGCAATCCACCCCCAGCATCCGCCGACCCCAGATTATGGAACCACTTGGGCCTCATATGCCCAGGATGCTGTCCAGACACAAAGTCAGAACCTTTCCATGTAGATCAGCCTCACAAAGTATTGCATCTTACCAGTGGACCACCGTCAGACACCTCTGTGACTTTTCAAATGACAAAAGCAAGGCATGATTGTAACAGAATTTTTAAACTATTTACAAAAAGAAGGTAGAGAAAAATCTCTTACTCTGTTTATTAAAAGAGGACCTTACTGGGCCAGAAAGTGGCATGGTGGGTAAGGCAGCTTGATTTCACATGGCTGACTCTGAGGTTTGAGTCCTGGACCCAGAGGCTTGAAAAACACACCAGGGTGCCCAGAATACTGAGAGAGAATGAAGGAGAAAGGATTGCAGTATGGCCATCTCCCCCGTGGGGGAGTTCTCATGTTCCCGCTCTCTCTGGTGAGTGCACACACCCTAAGGAAAAAAAAAAAAAAAAAAAAAAAAAAGACCTTACTAAATGTTATTGTTTCCTTTCCCATGTTTGCATACATGCTTCTTTTTAGTAATGAAAGTGAGATTCTACTAAATATACGGTTTTTTTTAGGGTTTTTGCCATAGGGTGCGTGCACTTGCTGCAGAAAGATACACCCAGGATCATGGCCAAATTTCAGTCCCTTCTCCTCCATTCTCCTCTAGGGGTTTTGGACATGCATGCACACACACCTGGCGTGATTTTCAAGCCTCCAGGTCTGGAACACAACCAAGGTCGACCATGGGGGAGTCTAGCACCCTAACCACTACACCACCTGCTGGCCCCCTAAATACACTATTTTAACCTGTTCCCCTCTTTTTCTACTTGAATAACAGTTTTTGTACCACTAGATACTTTTCATAGTATCTTTTAAAATAGGGGAGTAGTATTTTTTTATGCCACAATTTATTAATTCATCTCAGGTTTCTTCTGATTTTTATGTAAAATGAAATGTATAGTATTAAGCATCTACCTTTTCTTGTTCATCTTTAGTTACCTCTTTAGGAGTAATGCTAAGAAAGTGTAATTAATGATGTAAAAGGGAAATAAAGGGGACCAGCAGATGGCATAATGGTTATGTCATTGGACTCCCATGTAGTCAACCGCCGTTTGAGTCTCAGACCTGGTGACTTAAGTCTCACGCCAGTCATGTGTGCCCAAGATCCCAGGAGGAGAATAGAGGAGATGGGATTGCAATGTGGCCATCCCCCCGGTGGGTGATTTCTTGCTTTCTGTCTCTCTGGCTAGAGCACAAACTCTATAGCAAAAAAAAAAAAAAAAACCTCTCTGAAAAAAAGGGAAATAAAGAATTAAACATGTACTTGATTAATTTTGCATTTTAATCATGTAGACTTTTAAAATCTAATATATCAAAGACAATAACATACTCAGATGAATTCACTTTTTAATATTACATCTTTCTTTTGCTGTAGAGTTTAGGGTCAGCATTAGGATTTGTAGCATAGCATGGAATTTTCAAAACTTCTGTTTTAGAGAATTTCAAGCATGTACAACAATGGACACATTAGTATATTGAAATAACTGTCTTTATCACAGCTTTCTTTCTTTCTTTTTTTTTTTTTTATAATTATTTAATTTTTTTGTTTCTTTTGCGTTTTATTATTATCATTGTTACTTTCCAGTTTGATCAGAGAGAGACAGAGAGAGAGAGAAAGCGAGAAAGCAAGCTACCAGGTTCGAGACTTGGACCATGGTCAGCCATGTGGGAGGTCAGCGCCTTTAACCACCATGCCAGCTGCCGGCCCTTCCTGTCTTTATTACAGCTTTAACAGTCATTTAGCTCATGCTCAGCCCTGCTCTATCTCTGCTCGCTCATCTACTTCTTCCTTCTCATATTATTTTGAAAACGAATTCTATACATCATTTCATTTCACCCATGAGTAATTTCATTGTATTTCTAGAGGATAAGGACTTATTTTTTCATCATAACACAAACCATTGTCATCATTATCACACTGAAAAAAATGAACAATTCCCAATATTCAGTGTTCAAATTTTCCAGTTTTCTTATTAATATCATATGTATTTTACATTTGTTTGAATCAGGTTTCAAGTAAGGTCCTCCTGTTGCATTAATTTGATATGTTTTTTATTTTTTTTAATTGCTGGAGGGTTAGTGCCTTTTCCTGAGAATACCCCTTAGTGGGGCATGGTCATACCAGAACCCCTTTTCCTCTATTTCTCTGGACTTAGGACACTCACCCAGCATGTTTTTCTAGCTGTTGGGTCCAAATTCAAACCACAAATGGCCGTGTAAGAGAACCAGCAGATGACTTAATGGTTATGTTGCTGTACTCCCATGTAGTTGACTGTGGTTTGAGTCCCAGACCTGGCAGCTTAAAACTAATGCCGAGTGCATGTGCACGCATGCCCAAAATCCTGAGAGGAGGATGGAAGAGAAGGGATTGCAGTGTGGCCATTCTCCCTTAGGGGTGATTTCTTGCTTTCCATCTCCCTGTCTGTCTCAGTTTCTCTGGTGAGTGCTCACACCCTATAGCCAAAAAATCTCTCAAAAAGAAAAAAAAAAAAAAAGGCCATGTAAGATCTAACTTCCTTAACCATAAGTCATGGGACAGGCCCAGTATACCTTTTAAAACTCTTTTCATCTATAGACTCCTCCATATTTTTTTAACCTTTTGTTTTTGACCTTGTAATTTATTCAACAGCACAATGAGGACTCCGATTTTTAGTTTTTTAGTTTTGCTATAGGGCACATGCATTTGCCAGAGAGATACAGAGAGAGAGAGAAAAAGTGAGAAATCATCCTCCGGTATAGCCAGGGGGGTGGCCTCCCAGCAGTCCATTCTCCTCTCTGGATTTTGGGCACACACTGACACATGCCTGGCGTGATTTTCAAGCTGCTGGGTCTGAGACTTGAACTGCACATTTGGCCAAATGGGATCCAGTCACCTCAGCCCCTGTGGCATGTGCTAGCCTCACAATGAGGATCTAAATACTGTCTTGAATTTTGCCAGTTATACCACTATGGTATAGTTTAATATACTACTCTGATGAGATTGCTTATTTATTTATTTATTGTTATTAATTTGCTAGAGGGCATGTGTGCTAATGGGGGAGGGGGGAGGGCCCCACAGTGAGGACTGTAAGTACTGTCTGAGTTTTGCCAGTTACACAACTATGGTATAGTTTAATATACTACTCTGATAAGACTTTTTTTAAATTTTAATTTGCTAGAGGGCATGTGTATTAGTGAAAGAGAAAGAGAGAGGAGGAAAGAGATAGGGAAAGTGAGAAGGCACTCCCCATGGGGGATGGTCATGCTACAAGTCCGTCTCCTCCATTTCTGCTTTTGGGATTTTAGACAAGTATGAACACATACCTGGCGTGTTTTTTAAGCTACTAGGTCTGGACTTGAACCATGCAGTTGACCAACTGGGATCCAGCTCCCTTAACCACCACATTACCAGCTGGTCTGGGACTACTTTTAATGAATCAATAGAGCTGTACCCACTGGTATATTTTTAATAGTTTTTTAGAAGAATTACTTATTTTATTTTATTTATTATTATTATTATATCTTAATTTGTTGTAGGGTACACCCCTAGAGAAAGAGAGAGGGAAAGTAAGAAAACAAGCCACTAGGTCTGAGACTCAGACTGTGGTCGGCCACATGGGAGTCCAGCGCCTCAAGCAGCCAGCCATCTGTTGGCCCTGTTTTCATAGTTCTTAAGTGTCTTCTTGCACATAGCTGAGAAGTTTGTATGAACTCCTGTCAGACACTAATTGAGCTGTCACCTTGCACTCTCACCGAACCCTGCAGTATCACCCTAGCTGTATTACCGTGACTGAGACTCTCAGGCCTTCATCCTACTTCTGGGAGCTCACCTTGGCTTCTCCATTGACTCTGCTATTACCAAGTCTTTCTCTCCTTCTCCTAAATTGCACTCATCTTTGTAATGCTCTTGTCTTCAGCTAATACGCATATTCACGTCAATTTTATGAGTTAATGTTCTTTCATGAGCGTCATTAATGCTTCTCAATTAACCATCTCCACTTAGGAGCTTCTTGAGAGCATTTGCTTTGTGTAAGAGCAAATTCAGGTAGTCGCGCAATACAATCTGAGCAGACTGTTCTGATTAAGGGTCAACTAG